AGACGAAACGGAGTGACGTTTTGCAAAAAGTCCACCGCTTTTCGCACGCATGGTTCCATACAACCCCGCGAGGTGTGAGCCAGTTCACATGCGGTATCGTGCAACACCTGCAAGAAATAACAAATAATAACACACCCGTATGAACATACGGTAGAACAAAGACGTGTAAAACTTGGACACCAGTTAGCGCGAGCCATTTAGCGAATGACGACAAAAACAAAAAGAATAATCAAACAATGACGAAAGTTTAAAATGTAACGCAATACATAAATTATTTAGCTATATAGTGAACAACCCGATACATGCAACCACAAGCGCACGCACACACACACACACACACACACACAGAGAGAGAGGATAAACAGAACAAGCGCGTGGAATTTCAAAGTCAAAGAGAGATCGAAATAAGAGGACTGCACCAACGAAGCACACCTGCTTCATCCCCGCGGAGGTAAATCACTGTTTCATATCACCCTGCCCTCCGTTTCCCCCTCACACCCCACGATGACCAAACGAACACATCCAGTTCGTGATCAATGACAGTCCATCGAGTGCATGAGAACCGACAATTCAATACCTGGGACCCGGAATGAAGGACAAATATCCCACGAGATCAGTGTGTTATTGTTTCTCGTCTGAGGGTGGGGCTGCCCCAATCGACAGCCACCAGAACTGTCAGTTGGTCAAAAAACGAACCGTGAAAGTCACAAAACAAAACTACGGATGTGCGGATGCAGAAACACATCGACGTTTTCGGTGAAGGTCATTTTGTACACTACATCAAAACGCCGAAGCGACTGAGATGAGGTCTATCGGACTGGCGAAAATTCCGGAGGCAGTTACCAAACCCTAGAAAAAGTATCACATTTGGCTTTGTAGAGCACACAGGGTGTGGAGAGTCAGGGAACGGTAAAAATAAAAAAGGTAATCAAACGAGTAACACGACGAATATCAACATGGTACAGAAATCAATTAACTATCATATGGTAGCCCCCGCCCCCAAAGAAGAGAATAAAAATAATCAAAAAAAAACTTTCAAACACTCCAACTAACAACAGTAACCAAACGCAAGGATACGTACAGACAATTGAATCCATGTGATTTGTATGTAATTATACAAAAGACCGAAATCAAAGGACAGGCGAGCACATGTCCCAGAAAAACTGAACGCATTTAAATCTGGTCTCGGTCAGTGTGGAAAGACTGAAATTGGAATTGGTGAACTAAGAATGCTACACCCAAACACGATGCATGGTTTTCGAAGACAAAATCAATTAACCTCACCCGACCTAAATTCATGCCTCCCAGGGTTTCAGCATGATCGGGGATAGGTGTCTCCGGTTGCGTCTGGCTACCCTTCCCTTACACATGATAAAATGCTCCTCTACGATCAAGTGTTGGTTACATAATCATCATTTTGTTTTCCTTTCGTTCAATTTATTGTGTCACACCAAAATCATGGCCTATAATTCATGTGAACTAAGCCGCCTGTAAAAACTGCGCTACCCGAAGTTCGAGCACCATCAAACAACTGTGCTAGAGTACAATGAATACATGTAGGCGACCGGATTGTATGAAATATCACCAAATCCAACAGTTATTTTAGATGGGGAAGGCCATGGTCATATGCACTAAACGCCCGGTCATTTGCCAGAGGTTATGCATCAAGCGAAGGTAAGNTCAAATACCTTCAAACTGTATCGGGGAAATTTTGATCAGGGCGTTTTTCGATCAAACTGTTCTGTGCAGTAGCTACATACGAGTGATTTACGCATGTCCGTGAGCTCAAATAACGTGAACTTCAGTATAAAGCATGGAGAAGATGATCACATCACACATGTCACAGTTTCACATATGTTCATCTAGAAGTATTTAGTACATTAATACAGGTAGTACTATTCACATCTCACAAATGGTATTTGGTCAACCACCCCGATTCTATCCACAATGTAACAAACATCGACAATGTTATTGATTACCTGTTTTAACTGTTCAACCACTTCGTTCGGTAATGGCGGATTACTGTCAGTCACTGTGAATACAGGTATCGTGGCCGGATAAGTGGAAGGGAAAGCAACACTGAGTGTTACTGTTCCGCACAGAGGCATGGTAGTGAATTCCACGGCACGAGTATCTTCTAACAAACAGGTTTGAACGCTCAAACTGTTGGTAGTCACGAGTGATTGTGTATCCGGGTTGACCGGTTCACTTGACTGATTCAGTGTACTAGACCGGTTTGATTTGATCGGTTGTGATTGGGATGAATGACGTGTGCATCCACTGAGATTGTCCAACTCCTCGGTGGATTTGGATCTTGCCGCCTGACGCCACGGTTCCGTTCGACCGGAAGTATCCATCGACGGTAACAGATCGTTGGCCGGTAGGAGTAAACTTTCCAAATCCCCATTGTCGTCCAATTCTGCACTGTTTCGTCGACCTCGATCACTGCCGTCCGGAACCGCGCAGACAGTATAGTGATGAAAGTGTTTGCGACGACAATAGTAGAGCATCAGTTTCGCATTTCGATTGATCAAATCTATTTCCTCCAATTTGTACTGATAAATGGAGAGAAGGTGGGACAGGTGACATCCAATTGTAGTCGATGGTCGCATGATCAACGAGATCGGTATTCGATGGCGATGGAGCCGCTCGAACAAGGCACAAGTAAATAACAGTCTGTTTTTGAACACCATTAAAGTTGAACCACTTAGTGTTAGTTATATTGTTCGCCCCTGTGAGGATCAGTGGAAATCCTCATTATAAGGTGCCATCTGTGATCATGATCACTTGAGATCGCAGACACCAGATCAGAGCATTGGGTTTTTTTTCAGTTTCTGTATGCCGAAAACAGCATTACAACATAGTTTTAGCCATGCGCACACTATTCCCTTCGTGTGGCACAGCTTCTAACCAGTCCAAGCCTTGTCAGAAACATAAACTGAATACATTGCTGATATGTTTCAACAGGGAAGATGGGGCTGTCTAGTGCTCATTGTCAACCATTACACAAATTTCGACTGGCAGCATCCTAATTATGTCGGAANGAAATATGATAGATTACTTGTTGCTGCACTTCAGTTAGTTGCTACCGTAACTTCTTTATCATACTATACAGTATAATGAAAGCACTGTAGACAATTAATCGGTACACATCCTTGGTTTGATCTAAAACAGTGATCAGATCCTCTGAATTAGTTATTACTCCTCAGCTAACCAATACCACCCCATCGAATGTTCCAGGTCTAATAAGTAAAAAATTGAGGTTAGATGTTTCAACATTACAACTTCGGTAAAGCCCAATCACGTCAATGCTACATTTTCCATATCTGACCTAAGTGCCTCGGTCCGAGTGGGAACAAGCGTTCTGTCAAACTGTTCAAAATTTGCCTGAACGAGGTTGTTTCGCTACGCAAAGAAAAAACGAGAACAGGACCAGTGATGACAGGAGATAGCCGACCACCTATCCAACGGCCAACGACCAAAAACGAGTGAGTGAGCGGATGGGTGGGCATGGAGTATCACACTTACCTGTCCAGCACGGGGACTCAGAAGAGACAGTTCTTGAGCCAAAACTTGGTACGCATTGTCTTCAACAGATGACCCTGCGGATAGACGACATAATCATGGCGAGAAAATGAAATCAGACGGGAGAAAAACACAAGAATCTCATGAGCAAAAAGGAAGACCTTTTACACTGTACATCTAATCGCATCAATCTGCAGTCCATTCCAGGGAAATCCCCAATGTATCAATAGTCTCAGTTAGCATCATCAACACTGAACATGGAAAAACCGAAATGCAAAACATTATCCATTGACTAATCCATGTTGCTTGCTCACACGGGGATGAAAACAGAATGAGTTGAATATGAGGAAGTGAAACACGCCAGTGTTACGGGCAACACATGCATCACGAAGTAAGAGTAAGAAAGCTGTAACGATGAAATGGCGTAAGGATTACCACTACTACCGATTACGTAACTTGTCTGTCAGTGTGTTGGAATTCAATCGGAGAAACCGAAGACTAATAACGGGTTATCATGTTCATTGGTATAGAATTATTACCAAGCTGGTTGCAAAACATTAATAATACCTCAAACGGCGGAGAATTGTGACTAGCTGGCACAAACAAGAAGACAAAGCAGGAAAAATCTTGGATTACTGAAACACGAGCAACGGGAGAGGGTGAATCCTGCTAGAACCAAACCCTTAAATGCGAAAGAGAACAGTGTGCTTTCGTTTACAATTACTAACATTTGACAAACAATGCGGTAGTTAGATCCGTGAAGAGTATTGATAACACCTGAACACAAGTCAGTCAAGTCAAGTCAAGAAAAGCTTTATGCACCCAACTGGTGAATTTTCAGCAGTAAGCACAAGTGACACAAGTGACTAGCTATACGTTGGAAGGAATTCATTAAGAGGTAGTTGCTATTTAAAAAATAACAACATAATCAACTTATTGACGGTTCGATAAACATCCCAGATGAACAACGTCCACATCCTGTCACTGCGGTAAGTGAGCGGTTGTCAAAACAAAAACACTTTAGACGAAAGAATTTATAAACAACGACTGTTTTTAGATTTCAGTCACACGCAACAACAAGGCTAATAACAGACCAGTAACAGTAAAGGTGTCAAACCCCGAATATGGTGTAATTTATCGATTTTGATAGCCAAGTACTACCTTGCTGAACAGTGGTGCTGGTTCGACAGCAAGAAACATTGACAACTCTCGCACAAGTCAAAACATGCTATAGTAACTGATGGAGTATAATCTGCTTGGTCCATCTTTCGTTTCTCACAACTTGTACGAGCTCACTGATAACGTTCCAACACTATGGACTTAAGCCTCCTCACACAGTCATGTCTTGCAAAACATATGGATTGATTGAATAACCTTTATGTTTGATTTAGCTCGGGCAAGTGAATACAACTGATTGTTGAAATTCTTAGTTCGTGATATTGTAAGTTGAATCAGATACTGTGAACTTCCGATGAATCAATTCATAGTACGCAAGTCTGCCCTATTATCATTTTGCGCAAGACATTTGATCTCACGGTTACAAATCTATCCTGTACACGCTATTATGTTCGTCAACTTGAATATAATGCTATTTCGATCGATGCTAGAAAGGAATGAGCTGGTAGTTCTGTTTTTTTCAGATTGTTTTCTACCTTCCAGTAATACGGTAGACCGGGCATCTTACACAGTAACAGATGCGAAATCGGAGCGAGAAATGTGTGTCGTGTTCTGTCTAATTTGATCTGTATAGTAATGTTCCGATAAACTACATAGAGAAATAGCTAAAACCCAACTATTTTGGTTTGAATTCTTTCTCATCTTACAATGTCAAACACTACCTATCCTGTCTGGATTACTTCAACAAATTTCCGCTATAGGGAAAACCTTTCGGTATGAAAAAGTTCGAGCATCATTTCAAATAAGTTATTGGTGGATTGGTTTGTCTTACCGGAGCAGATGATTGTTCTGCGTTTAAATAAATATACGGACAAAAGCCTGCCCGTTCCCCTACCATCACCACCAAGGTACAAAACCGATGCGATAATCATTCGCGTTTTACAATAAGGCTTAATCGCGGGGCGCATTCCGCATAAACAAGTGACGGAACGATTAGCAACTTGTGTTATGATTACCCCTAAGTTTGATGACCTCATCAACTCTCAAAGCTATTCAAATCTTCTGGATGTAGTCTTGTGGTACTGGCTGCCATTCTTTCTTCAAAATTTCGTTAAGGCTCTAACAGTTTGGACTATCTTTATCGATTTTTCGTTGACCCATTAAGTCCTTAAATCAGCTCAGTTCTTTTCTTACAACCATTAACTATGCACTTTTGTGCGCCGGTTTCGGTTGCTGTCTTTTGGTTGCCCATTTGTTTTTGATCGAAGTGGGATTCGGCGGGTAGGATGACCGAAGGACGAAAGGCAATTCGTCGTTCTAGTCCATACTCCCGCACAATCCGAGAGAGATGCGCGGTCGTCGTCCTTCTGGTTTGCTCATGTTGAAAATCTAAAAAGGCAGATGACTGTTCTGGTTCATGCAATAACTAACTCCGTTCGTATCACAAACTCACTTCTGTTATCTCACCAAAATGCCTCTCAAAACCGGAATGAAATTGCTATCGTTCTATCCAGTGGTGTGGGGTATATCCTCATCCATGTATGCTTCATGTGATCGTCACACAAGAATTCTTCGGTTATGGTGTCTCAAGACGGACCTGACCTCCTCAGTAAAAACCACCTGCCACCACTGCTCTGTACGCCTCAGTGGCGAATGAGAGCTCTAACTGATAGCTTGTGTAACGTTGGTCCAGAAGAGAAACAGTTCATCTTCACTGTTCACAATAGCATTTTTCAGTGGTCTTTTATTGGCGAACCCACCTGATTTCGTTTCCGTTTGTACAATTATTAACCGAACAGTTTTGTGTTCCTACTTCACTCCCGTTTATAATCACCATGCTTCTCAAAACGGTTAATTTGGAATCTCAGTCTTCACATTGCATTGACGGCCCTTTTGATCCACCACCTTCGCTTTTCAGA